CGGCCACTGCACTCTAGTCTGGGCGACAGAGTGAGACTCCAACTCAAAAAAAAAAAAGATTACAACTTACTGAAGGCTCAGATGATAGCATTTTTTAGCAATATTTTAAAATTAAAGTAAGGTATGTACATTGATTTTTCTAGATATTATGCTCCAGTATACCTAATAGATTACAGTAACCATTAAGATATGTACAGTGAATATATGAAGATATTACTACTATAAACTTAACTTTTATAGGTACTGGGAAACCAAAATATCTGTGTATTTGCTTTATTGTGGTATTTACTTATTGTGAGATCCAGAATGGAACCCACAATGTCTCCGAGGTATGTCTGTAATTATGATACATTTCAATGCTAACATAGTTCATTTGGCTAACAATCAGTAAACTAAGCTTGTACTACTGGACAATCTCCAATTACCTACCTACTCTGGTTTTATTTTATTAATTTAATTTAATTTATTTATTTAGAGTCACAGTCTCACTCTCTTGCCCAGGCTGGAGTGCAGTGACATGATCACAGCTCACTGCAGCCTCAACTTTCTGGGCTCACGCAATCCTTCTGCCTCAGCCTTTCAAGTAGCTGGGACCTCATATAAGTGCCTCCACACCGGCTAATTTCTGATTTTTGTGGAGACAAGGTCTTGCTATATTGCCCAGAGTAGTCTCGAACTCTTGGGTTCAAGCAATCCTCCTCTCTTGACCTTCCAAAGTGCTGGGATTACAGGTGTATGCCATCATGCCCAGCCTGATTTTACTTGTTTCTAAATGAGACAATTACTTTCAAAGCTATCCACTGTATTTACAGATATACCACGGTAGAAATGTCTTTTTCTTCTTTTCTTTATATTTATTTATTTATTTATTTATTTATTTTTGAGTTGGAGTCTCACTCTGTCGCCAGATTGGAGTGCAGTGGCCGCTCCCGGCCACCGCAGCCTTGACCTGCTGGGCTCCGGCGATTGTTCCGCCTCAGCCTTCCGAGTAGCCGGAATTACAGGCATGCACTACCACGTCTGGCTAATTTTTTGATTTATTGTAGAGATGAGGTCTTGCCTGCCCAGGCAGGTCTCGAACCCGTGGGCTCAGGCAATCCACTCATCTCAGCCTCCCAAAGGTGTGGGATTACAGGCTGAGCCACACCGAACCTGGCTTCTTCTCTTCTTTAGAGACAAGGTCTTGCTCTGTAACCCAAGCTGGAGTGCAGTGGCATGATCATAGCTCACTGCATCCTTGAACTCCTGGGTTCAAGTGACCATCCTGCCTCGGCCTCCCAAAGTGCTGGGATCACAGGCACACACCACCACATTCATCTAACTTAAAAAACAAACAAACAAACAACCATTATTTTAAAAGATTGTGTGTGGGGGGGGTGTCTCACTATTTTGCCCAGTCTGGTCTCAAACTCTTGGCCTCAAGCCATCCTCCCATCTAGCCCTCCCAAAGTGCTGGGATGACAGGTGTGCACCCCTGAACAAGGTCCAGGAGAAATATTTAAGCAGGATATTGCTAGAGCAGTTGGTTTTCTGAAGACACAGGAGAGTAGAAGGTGGGAAGACACCATGTGGAAGTTCCAGTGAGAAAATCAAAAGTCACCAGGCCAGTGGCTCAAGCCTGTAATCTCAGCACTGTGGGAGGCAGAGGCAAGAGGATTGCCTGAGTCCAGGGGTTCGAGACCAGTCTGGGCAACATGGTGAGACCTCATCTCTACAATAAATCAAAAAATAAGCCTGTGTGGGAGCGCGCGCCTGTAGTCCCAGTTACTTGGAAGGCTGAGGCGGAAGGATCACCTGAGCCCAGCAGGGAGAGGCTGCGGTGTCCATGAGCATGCCACTGCACTCCAGCCTGGGTGACAGAGTAAGACTACGGCTCAAAAAAATAAATAAAAGAAAGGAAGAAAGATCAAAAGTCAGAGAACAATCCGAAATTCACGTGGTCAGTTGCATGGCCGCTGCAGAAGCCGGATCCCTCGGGAAAGCCTTGCAGACTCACCTCACCCTCGGCTGCCAGCGTCTGGCTCCTCCCTGCGGACACGTGGCGGTGGCACCGCAGCCTTCCAGCACGAGGTTCCCAGCAGGCCTTGCGCCGCTCTTGGCGGGAATGCTGACCTCCGCGGGTCAAAAGGCCACCGTCGCGCTCCCGGCGGGTGACGGTTGACAGACAGCGCATGCGCAGCAGGCAGGGTGCGCGCAGCGTCGGGCAGCTCTCCGGGTCGCCAGCGCCACTCCGAGACGTGTCGTAAGGTGGATTCGTTTCTATGTAGAGATATATTTTAAACATTTCCATCTCTTTTTCTGCCAATTACTCCCCACCCCATACTTTTAAGTTTCTTGAGGGCTTCGTGGTGAAGCATTTGGGGAAATGGGTCGACCTGCTTCTTTTTCACAGAAGGTTCTCGAGATGGGGGTGACCCTGGTGGCGGGCCCAGGCTTCGTCAGGATGAATTTAAACGTTTAAAGTAAATTAGACTCTTCTAGTTGACTTGTCTGATGAAGAAAAAAATGAAATTGGGACCGAAAAAAAAATGGAAACTTACATCAGCACCCCAAGGTTACAGTTGGGGAAGAGGAGTCGGTCACAAAAATCTAGAAATTTCTGATGCCCTTTTATAGCTATTCCTCGGAGCAGACAGTATTGATATCCGGAGCACTGCCACGTGCATTGGAAACTACAAAAAAGTGTTTTGGTTTGGGGTGTTTTTGAGTCAGAGCCTCACTCTGTCGCCCAGGCTGGAGGGCAGCGGCACACTCACCTGCTGGGCTCCGGCGATCCTTCCGCCTCAGCCTTCCAAGTAGCCGGAACTACAGGC